TGAGTTGCATCTGTTTACCTATAAGTCTCCAGTTTATCCTTCTTTATGGCTGAGTAATGCTCCATTATATAAAAAGACCACATCTTTTTTATCCATTCCTTGGTTGATGGGAGCACATCTTTTGAATAAGTTATTAATGTAAAACCCAATGAAAATAAAAGTTTTCCTATTTCTAACCTTTTAACAATTCCCTCTTGCGTTAATCTTATTAGGTTAACTCAATTGTTACTACGTTTCACTGTGTACTTCTTTGCTTGACTTTGACCTTACCTTTTATTGGCAAATCTTCCTCAAAATATTACATGTTACTGGGAATTAACGAGCTAGATTGCACTCACATGATGGAGAATATTTTCCATGATTGCCTAAGCATGGGTGTTGTGTTGTTGTTCTTTAAAATTAAATAAACTAAAGTTATGTTTATAAATGAAAAGGATTAGTTTCACTTTTAGTTAAAGTAAAAATTACAGGTAGTCCTTAAAGCCAAAAAAAACCCCAAGAAGAAACCACCCTAGATAAAGTGTAGACTAAACTGATAACTTAGTACTTTGGTGAGTCATGAAGAAATTGAACAGGGAAGTAATATATACTTGTGCTTTCTTGTTTGATTAGTACATGTCCTTAGCAGTCTTTGTAGATATTGGCACCAAGAAGGAATCGTCTTGATTGTAGGCTACGGGTAAATTTTTTGTGAAAAAACTAACAATGTGTCTATAGTAATTTATTTTTATACTGAATTCTTTCTGTTATCACTGAAGAAAGGTATATGTCATTACTCCCTCCTCCTTCGTTAGTGCATTAAAGATCAAGTCATTCAAATTCTAAATAGAGTTACCCATGAGAAGAGAGAGAGCTCTGACTGGTGTTACCTAAGGAGGACATCCTCTTAATATTAAGGAAGAGTGCAAGATTTTGCAGGCCCTCTTGTGTGATCTTCCTTGACAGCTATTCTCTTTTTAAACACTTAAATTCTAGGAATTGTAAACATAAGGCTTTTTTTTTTTTTAAAACTTGTTCTGGACAGGAGTAATCCTATAGAAAATTCATTACAGTCATTTTGTTTGGCCATTTAATGTTGCAGATTGTATTGCAAATCTTGGTAGGCTTATTGTTTTGATAGTAAAGATGTATTTTTCTTTAGGCAGTAGAGGAAATTTGTGAACTATTGTAAATAATGATTAGCTACCATCATAACAGCAGTTGCCTCATTGCTTCTGTATGAGATTTAGTGCCCTCTCTCGATGAGGAAACTACTGCATAACTGATCTTCCCAGATTCGTAACTAGCAAGCAATAGAATTGAGATTCTTAAGCCTATATCTTTATCACCACGGAGCATACCATTTAAAGAAGTTTCATGACTAGTGTTTGATTACCTTGGGCGTCAGCAAGAAGCAAAAACTTCTGTAGTGGGGATAATTTTGTATTTCAAAATACACATCAAAGTAGTTAGCGCGAGGAAAGAAAGTCTGACCTTCATCTGATCTCTTTAATTCTTAGTTGTTGGTTTAGCATTCACACATGCACATGTGTATACACACACATATTTTAAGCATTTAATAGGAGATAAAGTCAGGAAATGAATATACTATGTCTCATCAGTCCTTACAGCCTATAAAATGTAATAGTCCCATTTATTAAACAATATTATTAGAATATTGTCAGTCTCATTTATGGAAATTTTTTGGCAAAGAAAATAACCTACAATTTAGATAATCATTCTTGATTTGTGTTTTGGAGGGCAAATCTTCAATCAATTCTTCAAATTGTACCTGAAGCTCTGTTGTTAAAACTTGATGGAAATACAAGACAGTGTCAATCACTTCTGGTGGCAGATGGGCTTTTTGAGCAGATAACATTCAGTGGAATTCTGTGCTAGTCACTGTGAGGGAGTTTAAAGTTCTGTCCCCTGGACATGGTTGCACATGCTTCAAAAGTATTTTTGTGGAATGGTCTGTGTCAGGCCTCTTCCTTGCAAAACACTTTGAAGAGTGCAAGGAGGCTGCCTCTGGATAGATCAGTATGTTTCTAATTTTTTGTGTGTGACATGTACACTTAATGTGTTCATAAATTTAAAACTTCCAAAAACGTGTTTTTGGTATAAAAATGGGCTTAGGATAGTGGATTAAACTTAGAATTTTCTTGATATCATTTCTTTTGAGCTTTTTATAAACATACTTGCACCTCTCCTTCAAACCTGTTAAATCAGAACCTGCTCTTCTACACACTTCTCCTGGCTGAATATGGTAGATATCCATGGTCATCAATCTGTGAATCAGTCGGTGATTTTCCAGAGTGTGGCTGACTAAATGAATGGGCAGGAGAATTACAAGTTCAAGCCTAGCCTGGTCAGCTTAGTAACTTAAGCAGACCCAATTTCCTAAATAGTTGATAGATGGGTGGGAGGGTGGATGGATAGATAGATAGGCAGATTGGGGATGTCAGTCTCTGGACCTCCAGCCTCCGCATTCCCTGGCATCTTGTAAGGAATTCAGGTTCTTGTCCCATGCCATACCCTGGCCATCTGAATCAGGGACTCTGGGAAAGGATAACAAGTTTGTGTTTTAACAAATCCTCCAGTGACCCAGACTGCGTGGGATCATTTTAAATGTTGCTTCAGCTCTAAAATTCCTCAGATGCTTGACTTGACTATCAGAACTTCCAGGGCAGAGCTTTGCCACCAGTCATTCAAGTCTTTCACTCCTTTGTTCAGTTCTTTTGCTGTTACCTTTCTAGTTTAATAACTTTACAGAATTAACGTATAGTCTGTTGTGAACCTTCTCAAATGCTTTTGTGGCAGAGCCAGGGCATTGACCATAAATGTTGAATAGAAAGCCTTTTATGCCATTGTATTATATTCTTTAGTGTTTGCATTTTCTGGTGATTGGCAGTTGTGGAATTACCTTGTTTATGGGTAAGAAGACCAAAAAAAGATGCCTCTAGACTTGGTTCTATCATGAGCATGCCTCTTGCAACAGATTGGTCAAGTTTAGTGGGGTGGTTCGGAGAGGTGACCACTGGCCTCCCTCGGTGTCCCTGTCAGTATCGCTCTCAGCAAATAGCTGTGGAAGAGTGGCTCCTTTAGGTCAGTGCAGTGCGGGCTAGTCAGGCAGAACGGGGAATTAGCATTCTCTGCTCACTCTAATGAGACCTTGTGTTTGGCTCCCAAATGGTTTCCAGAGAAATCAAAATACTACTACTTGCAGGCACTTTTCATGAGTAAAAAGAGCAATTTGGAGAGGAAAAGAAGTACTCTTCGGGCCCTGGGAGAACTGTTTTACAGCTGGACATTGCACAGAAATGCTAACTGAATTCCCTTTCAGTTGTGTAATTCGCCACTGGGGCTCATCTGTGGAAGAGCCACTCAACAGAAATGAAGAGTACCTCACACAGACATTTCTACTTGTAAACGGGCTCTTCTTTGTGGGTCTCAGACGGCAGTGTATAGCAGGACATTGTCCTTCGATTCTCAAGTAAATCTGGTGGCGGTGAATGGTTTGTTGCTGCCTGCTGCTCATTAGAGCCAGGCTGGCTCTTTTCCTGCAGAGTAAGTGGTAGATTGCTGACACCTGTTTTGCCATCCAGCGAGGGGATGGGAAGTGTGTGTCAGGAATGCCTGAAAGTGCTTCCTTGTGTCCGCCTTGGTGGAGCTTGGTGCTGCTTAGGGAGAAGAGGGTGGGAGTCCACTGCGGGGAGAGGAGATGAAAGAGTGGCAAGAAACTGCAGTGTAAACAATTGAGATTCTCATCCTCGTTAACAGCTTCTAATTGTGATTTTAGTTCATGCTCTGCCTTGATCACTTATGAGCAAAGGAAAGAATACATGTCCTACCCATGGGAATACCTCAGATGTCTCCAGATAACACAAGTGTATAGTTAAGACATTAGGAGTGGGTAGAAGTCGTTCACTCTTATACTCAAAGGTATCAACACTGTTATTTAAAAATAAATTTGCCCTTAAATATGTAAAGTTCAAGGGTGTTGCACACGCCTATCTGCTCTAACCTATCCTTACTATAAAGTTTCTTATAAAAAGTAGCACACAGTGGAACAGAGGGTTTATGTGCTGCCTTTAGCCACTGATAAGGAGTACCTGCTGTGTACAGTGCATTACCCCGAATATGGATGGATAACAAGAAGTACAAGACAGACCTGATTATTGAAATGCTGTCTGTGTACTGTGTGTCTGGGAGAAGAGGCCCATGGGAGGCGGCACATGTAGGAAGAGTGTATTGCGTGCAGTATATTGCAGCATGTCTGACCTAGTATGCTTTCAGTGGGTTTGAAGAAAAAGGAGCTGAGGTGTCAAAGAGGATGACCATAGAGATTCTTGTGTATGTTAACGAAAGAGATGAATTCATTGAGTAAGAGATTGAAGTGTGTGAATGATACTTTTTCCTTACCTCTCATTCAATATGGAATTAAATTCTTTGGGGGTGTGTGTGTGTGTGTTTAAAGAGTGGCAACATGTTTGCCTGGCTCATTTGTGGAACTTGGCTGGCTTTCAGGAATATTGGCTTCCATTTGTGAGCCATGTGCAGGGTTAGGGTTGGGTCATGGCCTTGGACCAGGGTGAAATCAACTGACTCATAATGTGATTGAACTGATGACTGTGGTCATATTACCACTGTGTTTTAACCAGTTGAGTCAGTCAAACATTGCAGAAAGAATGATTCAGTTAGTTTTAGAAAGAGATGGACATAGCCGTAAACAGGAGTGAAATCAAAGCCAGGCCCTAACCTCAGATAACACCTTGGCATTTATCTCTTCATCTGCGAGGTTTTATACTTGTTTCGTATCTAAGAGTAATGAGGTGATCCAAACGGAAAGGCCAGCAGGACTGTCCTGTTAGTATTTTGACACAGTGAAACAGGTAGTCGTTTTTCTTGCGCAGTGTCAGCGTGCTTTTGCCGCGTCTGCCTTGAGCAGCGCTGTTGTTTTCAACTTGGATGTGTAGTGTCCCGTAAACATACTGACGGTGCCTTTCTCTTCTTCTCTAAAGTCCGAGCAACCCAGTCCTGCCAGCTCCAGCTCCAGCTCCAGCTCCAGCTTCACACCGTCCCAGACCAGGCAACAAGGTATCAAAACTCCCAGCCAAACTAGGAGACATTTTTCTCATAAAACATCTTAATGAATTGATGTTTGACCTATCTTCTCCTGTGTTATTGTTTGAATGGTAACTTGGCTTTTATGAAGTTGTATTTATTTACCCAAGGAATGCACTTGAGTATTGTTGTGATATATAAAGCCAGGCTCCAGAAATGCCCCCTTTTCCAGTGCCTTCCATCAGATTCCCGTTTTACAAAAGGATTATAGACACAGCCCGTTCCAGGGAGTTCCCAGAGGAAATATAATAGCTAAAGCTGGACTTTAGAGGCTTTGATGAAGAGAAATAGGTTTTCACTCTTCCTCTTTGAATAGCTTTCATTTTACTTTTCTGCACATTAGTAGAGCCTTTTTTTTAGCAAACATTAATTTGCTAAAATATGTTTTCCTAAAATATGTATTTTTTTTAAAGTATATTTTCTTCTATTCATGATCAAGTGTTAACCTAAACTCAGAGTAAAGAAAATTAAACTGGCACATGGAACTAGTGATGTTTTCCACGTATGTCTAAAAACTTCAGCTGTGGGCTCTTCCTAATTTTTACGTAAAAATGACTTCATATCATTTTTCAGTATCAATAGTTTGTTGTTTCGGATCATATTGAGCCTTGCCTTCATTGCCCACAGCTGAATTCCTAATGGCTTTGTATGTTGTGAAAAGGATTAAATTGTGTGTGTTTGGACTAAGGCTAAGCTTCCAGGAAGAAATAAAGGACAGTGACAGTTTTGGCTATTCACATATCTTGTTCCACTGACTACCAAAGATGTAATAGCCTACTACAAAGCCAGAGAAATTTGTATTTTGCTGAATAGAGATTGCAGGGAGTTGATATGTGTTTCAGCACTGACTTGGTGAGAGCTCAGACATTCCTGCCTAAGATTAGACTTTAGGAAATGCCTAATCCAGAATGAAAGTGCCTCTCAATTCATATTCTTTGCAATCTCTTCCCTCAAGATTGTTTTCATCACATTGGAGTAGTAAAATAAAAAGCTACATGAATGGGTGTGTGTGTGTTCAGTTCTGTGTTATCCTAAATTGAACTTAGTTATGGGTGAATTTTTTTCCAACTAATGCTGTTTACTCTTTCGAATTTTCTGTGCGCTTGATTTTGCCACAAATTTCTTAAAAAATAAAATAAAGATGGGCCACATAAAATTGTTCTGACAAGGCCTTCTGTCCAAGATCAATATGAAGATCAGAAATAGGATGTTATACCATGGAATTGAAATACTTTATAATCTGAACTTGACTGAAATGCTTGCTTGACCTGAAATTGACCTTGAAATAAAAGGAACAGCTAAACCTTAACAGATCAAAAACTACCACACAAAGGCTGCACTGCCAAGAACAAGTTACAACCACAGTGATTTATTAATCTCAGCTTCTCAGTACATGGATTAACTTAACAAAGCATCCAATTTACTAGTTGGTCTTTCTGTTTCTTTTCAGGTATAATTTTTCTTAGCGAAAAAAAAATACATAGAAAAAAATTCTATAAAATAGAGATTCTTTAATGAATGTTTGGGGACCTATTACGAAAACAGTGTTTAGATGTAGGATGTATTTTAAAAATGGACACATTTTTGTACCAATTTTTGTTGCAAATCAGGAGTAATGGTTATTTTTAACCAGTGTTGAGTGCAGTATGCATTCCCGTGTCTAATATGGGTGTGTTGGAAATAGTATGTTTGATTGCCTGTGGTTCATTGTCATTGATCAGGTCCCTTAAGGTCTATAATGAAAGATCTGCATTCTGATGACAATGAGGAGGAATCGGATGAGGCAGAGGATAATGACAATGACTCTGAAATGGAAAGACCTGTACATAGAGGAGGCAGCCGAAGTCGCAGGTGAGTGCACGGGAGGAGAGAGGTTCCCTGGGAAGGAGTCAGACTTCTCAGTTACAGTAAACCTGTGAAATACCAGTACTAATGGCAATAAATGTTCATATCCATGTAAAGCCAGGGCATGTTGGCATGCTTACACTCACTTTTTACAGGGAACTATTTTTCCGTCTTCTCAGAAAGAAGAGATTGTGTCTTCTAAAACATTAGAGGAAAAAGTCACTGTAGAAGTCCTTGTTGTTGAAAGTAGTACCACTGATGGCTAAAATAGTCTATTTTCACTTGAAGAATTTATGTAGATCTTCTGCTTGAGGTAGTCTCAGAATGTGAAGAAACGTGTTTGCTGTTTATAGTTAGAATACATAATTGGCTCTGGTGAATTATGTGTGACCTAATTAAAATTAGGATCACCTGTGTGTGTTTTCCAGAAAATAAATTCCTTTTAAGTGTGCTGACAATTAGGTTCCTTAAGTAGCTTTAATGCTGTGAGGCATAATTCCACATTATAAGGTGGTAATTCATGTCACTTATAATTAATAGTCAACTTGAAATTGTCTTGAGGATTTTATTTCTTTATCATGAGGAAAACAAATAGGCATGCTCACTTTAATGTGTTTTGGGTAGAAAAAAAATACGAATCTACTTGAACTTAAAATCCAATTACATTTATAATATATTGCATTAAGTCTTTTCCCTGTTATCCATTACTGTGTGGATGGCCCTGAAATTCTGAGAAAGAATGCATTCTTACCCTAAACCTGACAGCCACTGTGTTTCCTAACTGACAGCTCCTTAATGTCACGTGAGGAGAAGAGCCCCTCTATGATCCGTGCCCTCTCCGAGCTCTCAGTGACTACCTGTGGCTGTATTCAGCACTCTCTCTCTGCTTTGTGCCCCAGAATCACTTGTGTGTATTCCTTTCAAAGGACCCTTATGGTACTGGCCTTAAAACACTTCCCTCTAAAAGTCATTCTGCCGACAAGAAAGAAGCTAGTAGTGGTGGGGAGGGCACACTAAAAATGGACTGAAAGCTGAAATTATCTTGACCATTGGGTTCTTCCTAGTTTTGCTGCTGAAAATATGCACGACTTATTTAGACAATCTCCCAAATTGTTCAGATCTGGATGTTCTGTGATCAGCTGCCGCCACCACTTTCTGTCCCATCTGCAATCAGGAAGCGTCAGATCCTACGTGTTTATGAGTTGACTGATGTAGACACATTGTTGGGGACACTTTCCTTTTTCCCCACTTAATGTGCTGTTTGCACGGCATTGCCAGTGTAACATTTGATCTCCACTGCACTTGTGAAATCTCAGCTGTTTAATCAGTTTAAATACTCAGCCTTCCACTTCAGTCAACAAGGATTTTAAAGGAGTGCTTCAACTGAACACTTCATTAATGTAATTTTGTTAAGAAAAACAAGTTCCATCAGTTTTTGCCAAAAGAATGTCCTAGTGTATCCTTTTTCATTTTCTATCTTGTATCTTGTCTGTCTGAATATATAATAGAGCCAGAATGGGATTGCCTATTCAGAGTGAAAGAAAATCTATCCTGATTTCTGCACCATTTTCTGTCTCTGAAAAGATATATCAGGTTACTGTATAACCAGAGAGCAAGAGCAGACCCTGAAGGACGCTTCTAAAGGAGGCACACATTGAGCAGCAAAGAACGAAGAACTCTGCTCTCTGGGCGAAAACGCCATTTTATCCTGAAAAGAAAAATAGAGGAGGTGGTGATATTGTTATTGTTTTTAGTTGTTGAAAGAGATATTTTACTTTCTAAAGCAGTGATCCCGAGCACACTATTTCTTTGTGTTGCTGGAGTTTATTTCCAATTAATTGTTGTATCAATGTTCAGGACTAGAGACAGCCTTGAACGATGTTACAGAAGTGATTGGTGGTTCTAGCACGTCAGGCATCACAAATCAGTGTAGCGTGGTAGCTGAGCGGTTGATTTGGGCCGCCTTGCTTGGGTTTGACTCCTGGAGCCACCATTTTCCCTTCGTGACCCGTACAGAGTGACCCAGTCTCTCTGCATCTTAATTCACTCACCTGTGAGATAGGAGAGCTTTAAAAGAAAAACAGCAGGGGAACCACTTGATATGGCTCCAGATACAAAGTAAGTGCTAATACATGTTTGGTTGTGGACACAGTGGTTAGGGTTTGAATTCCTTCCTGCTTGTAGTGATGTGTGTGACTTTATTTTTTTTCAGAGTTAGCTTGAGTGATGGCAGTGATAGTGAAAGCAGTTCTGCTTCTTCACCCCTACGTCATGAACCTCCACCACCATTATTAAAAACCAACAACAACCAGGTAAATTGCGCTGTTTGCATTTTTCAGGACTGCACAACTAAATGAAATCACTTTATACTGCATACGAATTTTTTCTTTCCTCTTTTATCATATTTTTTAGTTTTAATTTTTTATTAGCCTGTGTCTACAGTGTATAGTGATTACATTCCTCATGGGGAGGTGCTACATGCACATAACACACCTTAGTTCTTTTTCATGCCTTCCCTCCCCTTCTTCCTTCTCTCCATCTCTTGATCCTCCTCCCTTTTACAAGAGACCTACCTCCCTATTTCCTGTTGTCTGCCTTCTATTTTGTTCTTTATATTTTGGATTTCTCCAATAAGAGAAATCACTGCGTACAGATTTTTATCTCAGTGTTAAACAAACCCCCCTCTTGACATCAAACAAATAGGAAGTCACAACCTTAGGGATAAACACAAGGTACAAGAAATTTTGTTGTCATGAGAAGATGATGTGTTCCATTAGATAGGCTAAGTAGGTGTAAAAAAGGATCATGACGAAAAGTGTTGCCCATTTATTCCTGATTTTTATGTATTTTATCCTCAGCAATAAATAGGTGACTTAATTGGAGAGAATATAATGTTTGGGGCTAGTGTGAAGTGTAGTTCTTTGCTTTACTGTTGGTAATTGACTGGGTGGAAATTAATTTTTCTGACCCTCAATTTCTTCATTTCCAAGTAACATACCTACATTTCAGGGTATTAGGAGGGTAGCGGATAACGCAAAGAACATGAGATAGTACACAGAGCCTGCTTGGCACTTAGATGACGGCAGGTGTTTATTACAATGTTGTATCTATTTTTTCTTCCTGGAAAAAAAATGATCATAACTTTACATCGTAAGGAATAATCAATAAAATGCAGAGAAAGTAGTGCTATCACTGTTATAAACTGAGCTAGAAAAAGATTATTAATTTGACAGTCAACTGAGATTATAATTATTTGGATAAGGTCTAAGCAGAACTTGAAAGGCAGTGATGAAGAGCCTTTGTAAACAAATGAATCTTGGGATATTTTTATTACTTAGTAACATAAACTGTTTTCAGAGACCATGAATATTGTAAGAGCCTCCTTGTGCACTGAGTGGGTGCTCATGACTGTGAGATGCTGTCTTTTTGTTTAGGCAGACTGTCTGGGACTTCTACCATAATTGCTTAATTCAAGTTACCATATATTAACTTAAATGTTAAAGGATGATGTTTGTCTGAAATTATTCTGTTTTCACAAGTGTCCTACAATTGTAAATAATCTTGCCCTTGAGTTTATGATCTCTTCCATTAGTTGGGAAGATAACCGTTTAACTACAAACTTTTTTTACGTTTTGTGTAGAACATAAGCAAAGCCATCTTAACATGTAAGGTTCCTCATTTATAAAGTTGGTCTGTGGTTTCCGTCCTCGTGTTGCTCCTTACCACGCCAGGCACAGGTCACCTGTGGTTTTTCTTACACAGGACTGGACACCCAACCTCGCCGTCTTACTCCACATCCCGGCCCAGCTGCCTGGCTCCTTCGCGTCTCAGGCCCGGCCGATCCCTGCAGTGGCTGCCCTTCACCACAGTCTTACACATTTCAAAGTAAAATCAAGCAAAGTAAACAGTGGAGGGCATGAACATTATGGCCAATCAGACGAGAACACCAGGGTGACTGACTAGATAGGTTGGGTTCCTCTTGTTAACTTGTTTTTCAGTAAGACCTGGCCATACAGCAGAATGTGGACTTTGACTATATTTTGCATTCATTTAAGACTCATTTAGTCCTGATTTCTGCCTCCAGGTGGTTCCCCCCCCCGTACCGGGAATCTAACTCACGACCTTGCGCTTGCCAGGCAGGTGCTGTGCCACTGAGCTAAATCCCCAGCCCCCTCCAGGTGGTGATATATCAAAATTAGGAAACTTGCAGCAGCAGCGCCAGGAATAAGGGCTTTGGCTCCTGTGCCCTCATTACTTCAGCATCTCTCCAGGGCCTGAAGACAGGCTTGCGGAGGAAATGCCACCCCAACAACTCGTCTTGACGCCATAAGCCCTTTCTGCACAGGCAGTCTTGAGCTGTCCCTGGCTTTAGGAAAAAGTTTAGATTCTGTGTCAACAAGACCCAAAACAATATTATGTACCTGGAGAGGATAAAAATGACTGTATTAGATTAAGTAGCATGCCTCTTGTTCCTTGGCATGTTTATTTGACATAGTTGCACACATGTAAATCATCAGTCTGCCAGTATAACTCAGTTATATGTCACTTCCTCCCTGCATCTAGAAATATAATAATAAAGTCATATGCTTTCTCACTCTCTGCTAGTTCGGGTTAGGGAGTTTCTATAGCATAGGAATGTTTACTTTCTTGGCTTTATGTTGTGGAGCCAAACAAACAAGAAATGGTTTTGAAAACTTTGTTCAATACTGATTTATTAAACCCTCAAATCACTTTCATTCAGTTAGGTATGGTGCTATTCAAAGACTTTGAAAATATTACTAGTATTTTTTTTTTTTTCTCTTTAGTTTTCCATGCTGAATGAGCAAGATGGTAAAAATGTCTTAGAAACCTAAAGATCACTTAAATTGCGCTCTGGAATGCATCTTTGTCTTGTATTTGGATGTGTGTGAGCGAGAGAGCCTCCAAGCACTGGCATGGATAGTGTGTGTGGGGGGGTGTCTGCAGTTTCACATCAAACAAAACAGATGTCATCGTACAGAGAAGGTATCATTCCAAAACGGGAAGCCTCGGAGTTGCATTCCCCTGCCGTTTGGCTGTGCTTGTCCTGCAGTTGGTGATGATCTCCGAGTTTCTGTAGAGTACCAGGCATAGCTGAATTATCTGTTGCCTTTCTCAAATCTTCCAAGGACTAAGGAAAAGGGAGAGTGGTAATTGAGCCACATGTGTCCCAACTACTGAAAAAAAGTGACCAGAGAGCTACATGTCCGCAAAGCAGGTAATTAACCTGGGTATTATTAAAAGCTCCTGATGGTCATTAACATGAAAAGTCTACCAGTGGAGAATCCATCTGCTGAATAATTGAGTTGTCATTCCTCACAAAAGGACACAGAAAAATATAATCTTGAAATTGTGATTCTCAAACTATATCCTCAGATTAAGGAAAGAAGCACTACTAATTATAATTATTCTGTTTCATAGATGATCTTGTCAGCAGTTGATCTCAGCAGTCTGAGTGGCTCTGTCCCCCTCAGTATAGCTTAATAGGAAATAGTAAAGAGTATTGTACTGTTTTAACCAGAGATGGCTTTTTTTCACTCCAAGCCTCCTTTTGTGAATTTTAAATAAAAACAAAGTACTGGGTTATTTTAAGCCAAGAGTATCTATGAGCGAGGGGGAAGAAGTGAGGGAGCTTGAAGGAAGGAAGTGACCCATTGCGCCTGAGTTAATATTCAGAAGATCGTAAATCACCCGTCAGCCTGCCGGTCATGTTGAATGAAATTAAAGAGTCTATCCAGTTAAACTGGTTTGAAATAAACCTGTGGAGGACAAGGTGTTGTACTTTTATATTCTGGAGTCGTTTCCCTAAAGATAAGAAATGATCATAAATAAAACAATTGTCTTTAGCATGGCTCAGCTCTCTCTGAATGAGGTTTTGACAAAGCTGTTTATTTTGGAGCAGGGAGAGATCAAAGAAGGAGGATTAACTGAGCCCTCTCTGGGCAGCCACTCAGTAACTTGAGGCGGGTCACTGACACCCGGAGCTTTTGTTCTTGCCATTGCAGATTCAGAAGAAAGAAACTAGGATTTCAGTGTATTTTGGCCTTCTGTGCTGTAGCACTTAGGGAATGTGTGGGGCAGGACTTAAGCGCCCGAATGTTCTGTTTTCTGCTCTGAAGAGGTGGATTCCAAATGCATTTAGCAAAGTTTCATTGCAAATGCAGTGACCCAAGTCACTCCTTTACCCAGAGTGCGAGAGGTAGGGGCTGGGAACCCCGGAAGAGGTGGGATGCAGGGGGAACGACATTCATTCCTCCAGTGCGCAGGGCATGCAAGCAGGCGCTGTTTGCCCTCTTGCCAGAAGCCTTTGGATTGCCTCTGCATTATCCAAGCTGGCGAGGAGCGCCATCTACTGACCTCCTTACTCCTAGGTCTCTCTGAACTCGGATTTTCCCCGGACACCTCCTTTCCAGTAGAGAGGAGGAAATTCTGAACGTAGTGGAATGTTTGGTTTCCTTCACATCATTAAAAATGATTGCCTTGTGTCTGCTCCTCCGTGATTTATTTGTGTTACTAAAAGTACTGTAGTTTAAGATTGCCCGGTCAGATCAGTTATTTGGTTATCTTAACGTTAAAAATGAAGAAATAGAATCTCAGGAAAGAATATTGGCAGCACACTTCTTGTTCATGCATTATTCTCAACTTACAAATACTTCCTTTTTTCCAGTATGTCACGCTCCTATTCTCAATAAATAAAATGCTTATTAGTCATATAAAAATTGAAAGCTGAATCGAGAATCTGAGTTTCTCTCTCTCATTTCATCTTTTAAGACCTCAAAACATTACATAGGGGAGGGGCCAGAACTTAAACTCCAGTCTCAATGTTATGCTCTTGCCATTGCAAATTGGAAATAGATTCATTCTTAAAATCTTAACGTTATGGGGTGAATACTGTGAACAGAACTACTACTGGGACAGAGCAGGTGATGGTGAGGAGGAGCATGACCCCTTACAGTGAGTCCTGTGTGTGACGTCTTCCTCTTTAATATTCGTTGCTGTTTACAATGCAGCAGTAAGGTTTTAATGGAAAACACAGAGTACCTTGCCTTTTGTGTTTGTACAGACTTGTAAACACTCATCATTAATAATTTTGTATTCAAAAGCCTTTTAAAGTGAGAGCCATTTAAAAGTATTTCCCTCAGAATCCTCAATTTTGAAGATCCTGTCTAATAAGTCAACTGCATTTATTAAACATTTTTCTCTTTTTATTAATTAGAATCATAGCTGCCTGCCAAAGCTTCTATACTATACAGAACTACTGTTCATAACTTAAATTGCGTCTGGGCCAGATAAAATGGCATCTTACCATGCATAATCTCATCATTTCCCAAAATACAGCCTATAGTCCTGCCTTGTATTCCTGGAGCTGGAGGAGCCCAGGCTGAAGAGAAGTGAGCAGGACTCTCCCTCAGTGTAACTGATTTCCACTTTCATTCACAGAGCTGCATTAGTTTAGTGGGTATGAGTGACTGTGAAGTCTTGAAGTCAGGTACTACGAAGGGCATTTTTTTTTTTTTTTTT